TAGGTTTACAGGAAGTTCCAAAAACATTACAAAAAGGTCTTACGTACATTTAGTTTCCCTCAACAATAACATCCTGTATAAAACCAGAAAATTGACGTTGCCACCATCCACAGATTTTGCCAGTTTTACATACCCCATTTGTGTGGGTGTGTGTAGTTCTGTCAATTTCATCACCCGTGTAAATTCATGTAACCTCACCATAATCAAGATATGGAACTGTTCCATCACCACAAAGATCTTGCTCCTGCTACCCCTTAGTAGTCACACACATCCCACCTTAGTCCCCCATCCTTAACCAACCCCTGGCAATCACTAATCTATTCTCCATCTCTCTAATGGTGTCATTTCAACAGTATCGTAAAAATGGAATTATATGTCACCTTTGTGATTGGCTTTTTTCACTCAGCATAATTCCCTTGAGATCCTCCAAGTTGTCACGAGTGTCAATAGTTCATTCCTGGTGACCTCCCTGGTGGTCCAGTGGTTAAGAATCCGCCTTCCAATGCAGGGGATGCGGGTTTGATCCCTGGTCAGGGAACTAAGATCCCACATGCTGCGGGGCAACTGAGCTGGCGCGCCCAGAACTAGAGAGAAGCCCGTGTGCTGCAAAAAAAGATCCCACGTGCCCCAACTAAGACCCAACCACCCAAAAATAAATACATACATACATACATACATACATATTTTTTTTAAAAAAATCATTCATTCCTTTTCACTGCTAAGTGGTATTCCACCATCTGGATGGACTACAGTTTATCCATTTACTCATTGAAGGACAATTTGGGTTGTCCCAGTTTGGGGATATTAAGAATAAAAATGGCTATTGAACTTTTGTGTGTATATTTTTTGTGTAGACACGTTTTCATTTTTCTGGGATAAAACGCCCAGGAGTGCAGTTGGTGGGTCATATAGTAAGTGCATGTTCAGTTTTATAAGAAAATGCTGGGTCATTACCATGGTGAAGCTGGGCAAAGCGGCAGAGCAGGGGCTGCAGCAGCTCTTCAAGAGCGGCCAAGTTGCCACTTGCTGGGGGTTTTTATGCCTATCTTGGTTTACCCAGGATTTAAGAGGGGTGCAGATGCTGGGAATGGCCGAGCCAACCTATTTTGAGCTTACTTTGGGGATCAATGACTATTTGGTCATCTGGATTTGGAAGCAATCAATGGACAGGAACAACATGGAAGGTGTGCGCTCTGGCTGGGATGAGCTGGAACAGTGCTCACCAACCAATGGCACACGGCTCTTACTTCACAGATGCATCTCTACTGACTTATTTATGATACACTGCATCAAAATTAATATTTTAAACACAGTTTTAAAATATAAAAAAGAAACTGCCAAACTATATTCCAGAGTAGCTGTGCTATTTAACATTCCCACCAAAAATGTATGAGATATCAAATTTCTCTGTATCCTTGTCAGAATTTGACATTGTCACTATTATTTTAGTTGTTTTAATAGGTGTAATAATCTTATTGTGGTTTAACTTGTGTATCCCTAATGGCTAATGGTGTTGAAGGCAATAAATATCCTCTTTGCTAAAATGTATGTTGATGTCTTTTGCCCATGTTTTTTAATTGGATTGATTTTCACTGAGTTTTGTGAGTTGTTTATATATCTGACATGAGTCCTTTGTCAGATATGTGACTTGCAAATTAGGTTTTAATTTTTGATGAAGTTCAAGTTTCATTTTTTTTCTTTTATGGACTTTTTCTTTTAAACATCTTTATTGGAGTATAATTGCTTTACAATGGTGTGTTAGTTTCTGCTTTATAACGAAGTGAATCAGCTATACATATACATATATCCCCATTACCTCCTCCCTCTCGCGTCTCCCTCCCACCCGCCCTATCCCACCCCTCTAGGTGGTCACAAAGCACTGAGCTGATCTCCCTGTGCTATGCAGCTGCTTCCCACTAGCTATTTTACATTTGGTAGTATAAATAAGTCCATGCCACTCTCTCACTTCGTCCCAGCTTACCCTTCCCCCTCCCCGTGTCCTCAAGTTCATTCTCTACGTCTGCGTCTTTATTCCTGTCCTGCCCCTAGGTTCTTCAGAACCATTTTGTTGGGGTTTTTTTAGATTCCATATATATGTGTTAGCATATGGTATTTGATTTTATCTTTCTGACTTAACTTCACTCTGTATGACAGACTATAGGTCCATCCACCTCACTACCAATAACTCAATTTCGTTTCTTTTTATGGCTGAGTAATATTCCATTGTATATATGTGCCACATCTTCTTTATCCATTCATCCGATGATGGACACTTAGGTTGTTTCCATCTCTGGGCTATTGTAAATAGAGCTGCAATGAACATTGTGGTACATGACTCTGTTTTGAATTATGGTTTACTCAGGGTATATGCCCAGTGGTGGGATTGCTGGGTTGTATGGTAGTTCTATTTTTAGTTTTTTAAGGAACCTCCATACTGTTCTCCACAATGGCTGTATCAATTTACATTCCCACCAACAGTGCAAGAGGGTTCCCTTTTCTCCACACCCGCTCCAGCATTTATTGTTTGTAGATTTTTTGATGACGGCCATTCTGACTGGTGTGAGGTAAATACCTCATTGTAGTTTTGATTTGCATTTCTCTAATGATCAGTGATGTTGAGCATTATGGAGTTTTTGGTATCATACTTAAGAATTCTTCACCTAGCCCTAGATCCCAGTGAAGATTTTCATTTGTTTTCTTCTAAACGTCTTCTAGTTTCATGTTTCACCTTTAAATTTATGATTTTTTTCTTTTTGCTTATGGCTTTCCAATTACTCCAGTAATATTTGCTGAAAAAAACTATTCTTCATTGAATGTTCCAAAATCAGTTGGTTGTACTTGTGTGGGTCTATTTCTGGGTTCTTTATTCTGTTCCGTTGATCTATTTGTCTATCCCTCTCCTGATAAACTGTCTTAATGCATCTCTTCAGTGAAATATTGCAATCAGGCAGTGATTCTTCTCACTTTATTCTTGTTTCTAAAAATTGTCTTAGCTACTCTGGTTTCTTTTGCCTTTTCATGTAAATTTTAAAATAAGCATGGCAATATGTCAAAAAAACCCCACAAAACTTTGCTGGATTTTAATAGGAATTGCATTAAACCTAGAGATTACTTTGGGAAGAAATGACAATTTACTATGCTGAGTCTTCCAATCCAAGAACATGACATGTTTCTCTGTGTAGGTCTTTGCCTTGTTTCATCAGTGTTTTGTAGTTTTCAACATACAAGTCTTATGTTTTGTTAGATTTACATGTTTCTTTTGTCTTTCAAGTGATTGTAAATAGTATCAGCAGGTTTTTAATTTCCATTTCCATGTGTTCATTGCTAGTATGTAGAAATAATACAATTAATTTTTGTATATTGATCTTATATCCTATGACCTGACGAACTCATTTAGTTCTAGTTATTTGTAGATTCCTTGGAATTTTCTACATAGATCTTCATCATATCATCTACAATAGAGTTAGTTTGATTTCTTCCATTTTAATCTGCATTCCTAATTTCATTTCCTTTTTCTTGCCTTGTTGTGCTGGCTAGGACTTCCAGTATGATGTTGAATAGAACTGGTGAAAGCAGATATCCTTGCCTGTCCTGATCTCAGGGCTGGTAAGCACCTAGTCTTTCACATCATTAAGGATGATGTTAGCTGTAGGTTTTTGTATAGATGATCTTGTCAAGTTTTATCATGAATGAATGTTGAATTTTGGCCAAAAAATTTTTTTTGCATCCATTGATACGATCTGTGATTTTCCTTTCCTACAGGCTTTTTGAAATACTGAAAAAAAGCTTAGCGACTTCCCCATCTGACAATTCGCTCAGACTGGGAACTCAGCTCCTACCACTCATCTAGTGCACCATGCCTCAGTGTGTTCCAGAGAATGCAACTTGGCCTGGCATGTGGCCAAAGAAGCCCAATGTAGGAAATGCTGCCCAGAGTATGTATCCACTGCTAGAGATTTACAACACACATCAGCATAGCCAAGGCTCAGAAAAGCCCTGCGATATAGGCTGTTACTCTCAACATGGAATTTCCCAAACTTATCTTGCCAGAGTCCTTTTTTGCACAAACTCCAGTATGTTCCACGAGACTTTATCTGAAACACACTTAGGGAGCCGCTCAACTGAGTCTGACCCTTAATTTGCCGATGATCCAAAGGTTGAAAGAGAAGTCCCCTGACCAAGGTCACAGATAGTGGCATCACAGGCACAACAGGTCTCCTGCCCCTGACCATGCTGCTTTGACATACTACCAAGTCGGCGGGCAGCCCTGCCATACCACACGCCATGGAGAAGAGGAACGTACCCACGTCACCAGTCTGGCCCCTTTAGTGGCTCTCGGGCCCTTCGTCCCCACTGAGCTTGAGGATCAGGGGCTCAAATCCTTATAGGTTCAGTGGGGTCCATGGGTGGGTGGGTATGTAATGCAGGCTGGGCCAGTCATGCTGTTCTAGCTCCCTAACGGTAGCACACGTTTCACGGACGGGCGTGCAACCTGTTGGTCCAACAAGACTCCAGACCAGGAATTATTAGAATTACCTGGGGGGGAAAAACAGTTTTTGCATGGAGATGATGCTAAATTAGAAGAAACTGAGCTAGAGGTACCAGGAAGCACCAGGCAGAACAAAGTTGTAAGATGAAGAGAAACCTGGTTCCTTAGGACATGCCTGAGCCCCATCTGGTCAAGGCTGAAGCAGAACCTCCCTCCAGAACTTAAATGACAGACTAGTTAATTGCCGTTTCCCTCAAACCAGTTAGATGGAATCCTGTCGGTTGCCAACAGAATCCTAATTTGCCCGTGAAGCAGTGTGGCCCGGAGCAAGCTGTCACTGAACTGGCCCCGTAGATCCCTTTCCATCAGGAGGTATCATTTCCCCCAAGATTCCACAGCGAAGAACAATCTTTTCTGCCTCCCTCCTCCCTGTCCCCTACCCACCCTCAGACCGACATCCCCACGCGCGCTTCCCATCAAAAGGACGAGAACACAGGCGGCCAAAGGCAGCTTGGGCAGTACTCGATATACATCATACATTTATTATTAGTGAATATCCCTCTGAAATCAGCAACAATATTAAAAAAAATAATGATTGCACTACTTGGTCAAGCAGAACTAGCAAGTTTCATTTTAAAAAAAGTACAAATCTGTTAAAAATTTCAATCAGTATACACATATATAATACAACATACTAGTTATGTTAAATGCTACAAACCAATGTGAATCCAATGGAATGGAGAAAACCACACATTTAAGCTTTAAGAACCATTTTTTTCTCTATATATTAGCATTTTCTCAAATACATACATGGGAAAAATGAGGTAACTGTAAAATGTGCAAGGAACAGGGCCCCCCAAAATTCCATATATTTATTTATATATATGTAATTATATATATTTATATATATATATATATAAAAGACCTTTCTAACACAGAATACAGGCACTGGGCCCAGCCAGGGCTGGGGGACAGCACCCACTGTCATGCCTAGGCCAGAAGTTGGTAAATAAAAGAGTAAACAATGACAAGCCCCCACCACAGGAAATCATTGGTAACATGGCATCTATAGCAAGGTCGGCAAATCACAAACATCCTAAATAATTGTTTTATAAATCTTTTTTTTTAAACTTTTTTTTTTTTTATTGTTGTGTTTCCCCCCCAATAGCTGCTCGTTGGAATCACTGCTGCAGTCAACACACCATCCGTGAGCCTGTTTCCACCTGCCCCAGGAACCGTTAAGGGTTTCGAAAACCTTTTTTTTGGGGGGTGGGGAAGGGAGGGGGTCGGAGAGGGTAGTTCTCTGTGTAAAACAGGTGGGGTTTCAACACTGCTATAAATATAGAAATGTCACCTGGAGTTATATACAGTAAGACTCTGGGTTCTCCATGGGGTGGGGGCCAGGCTGATGGGGCCCCACGGCAGGCTGGGGGGAGGCGGTGGGCCAGGGCCGCTGCGGGAGAACGAGGGTGGTTGGAGCATCCCTGAGGCAGCAGGCGCCAGGGGCTGCCTGCTAGGATGTGCCGGCCCCACACGCGGTTCGTTCGGGGCAGCAACCCCAGCGGGGGGTGAGGAAGAAACGGAATGGGACCCGGGTGGGTGAGGGTAGGGAGCTCGGCCAGACCCTCCGGGGGCTCCTCCAGGTCTTGGAGGGCAGGGCTCAGGCTGGGAGGGGGCCCCTGGAGGCGGGGTCCACACCCTCCTTGGACCCTGTCCCCCTGGGACTTCCCTGGAGGAGACACGCCCAGGCAGGTGGGAGACAGGCCCTGGCTAGAGAGGGAGAAATGCCCTGAAAAGCGTACGGTCCCGGTAGGCTCTGGGGACGTGTGCAGTACAGTGCATGGCAGTTATCAGCTGAGCACAGACCCCCCCCCCACCCCCCCAACCCCACCCATGACCGCCAGCCGCCTGGCCCCGCCCCAGCCGCGCACATGCATGCAGACCAGGCGGCACCACCAGACCATTCCCTGCCCCTGGGCACTTGGTCCTGGTTGGTCCCTATACACCCCCCCGCCCATTAAACCAAAAGAAAAGAAATTGTTTAAAAAATCCACACCCTCAAATCCTACACGCGATTTTGGGCCAAATGAATAAACAAAAACTGCTGCTCCTCACGTTCATGCAAAACGACAGAGAGGGGAGATGGGGCATGGGTCTGGGCCCTGTCACCGCCAGGCAGGGGCAGCCACCAGCAACACAGGAAATCACTCTCCCTGGCCTGGTCCAGGCCCCCTCAGGATACATTACATGCCGTCCCGGGTCAGGGCCTGCCTCCCACCTGCTCGGGAGGTTGGCTCTGATGCCCTCCAGCCTGGGCTTGGGGCAGGAATGTTGTACCCGAGGTGAGGGTCCTCTAGGGAACCAGCCCCACCCCACAGCAACCTGGGTGGGGCTGGCTGCCTGAGTCTGTCTGGGGTCAAGGCAGGAGAACCCACTGGCCTCCTGCCACTGTCTGTCCACGCCTGTCAGTGCCACCTGAGCAGAGAGCACACCACTTCAGTGCAAGAGACCAGGCGACCGAGGACAGCACCCGCTTTGCCCATCCCGGGGCCAAGGATCTCCACCAGCCACACGAGGGTAATGAACCCCTGGCTCCCAGGGCCGGCAAGAAAAGGAGACAGACCCGAGGGCAAACAGGAGAGACTGAGTTAGGGACTCTCAGGCCGCTCCCTGGCGGGCGTCTTTTAGACTGGTGGGCAAACGGGGAGGGAGTCTTTGGAGCTTGGCAAATGCAAGGGCTTATTGCAGGGGCTTCTCTCGGGCTGACCCTGGCACCAGCTCTGGAGATGCAGGCAGGAACGGCAGGGCAGGCCTGGGCCACGCCCTCCTCGGCCTTCCGGGGCCCCCGGAGTTTCCAGAGCTTTGGGCAGGGTTCTCCTGGGTGGCTGTGGACCTCACTCAGCCTCCCTGGGCACCTCGGAAGCGTCAGCCCGACAAATGGGACACGTCCGGTTGGCCTGGGGGGAGCAGCCGCACATCAGGCTCCACTCTCACCGGACCCCCAACCCATCCGGGGCTGTTCTGCTGCCCGGTGGGGACCTGGCTCCCTGAGTGGAGCCGGAACTTCTGGATGCTGAAGAGGACACGAAGGGAAGCCCTCCAGTCCACCCTCCTCCCTCACTACACCAGGAACACCTGGGAGCGGGCGTGGCTACGTTACCTTCAACCACTTGTCGACACACTTGGTGTGGAACTCGTGGTTGCAGGGGAGGACCCGGAGCAGCTGCCGTGCCTCGAAGTCGCTGAAGCAGACGACACACCTGGGAGGAGGGCACAGAGCGTCACCCGCACACTGAAGGCGAGGGCAGGTTCGCGGCAGAGCACGAAGCGCTACCCTGGGAAGACCGCAACGCATCTGTGCTCACAGAGAGACAGGAGGGGGCGCAGGGCACTCACAGCGTCTGCTCTGACTGGTGGCTGTCAGGATGAAAGCGGTACGATGGAAGCTGCTCGATGTCCGCTTTGGTGAGGCCGCGAGGCTTGGCGTCTCCCAGCCGCTCTGCCAGGTTCAGGAGGGCCTGGACGTGTGCAGGAGGGGAGGGTCAGTGGCAGCCAGGGCTGGAAGTCCCCCATGCCCCCACCTCCCAGGACAGGGCTCCACGGGACCTCATAGTTCTCCATCTCCACGTCATCCACATCAAGATCCAGGCTGATGGTGGGCCCCATTGCTGTTGGTGACATTGGCAGCATCGAGCTAGGGGGAGATAGGTACGCGGGCCCGGGGTCAAGGTCAGTAGGCGTAAGGGGCGCAGAGCTGCTCCCGACTCCCGCCATGAAACAAAGCCCAGAACTCTGCACTGTTCACACCAGGGACCCCAGTGTCTGTCCCAAGATGTCGCAGTAGGGCAGGGAGCCCAGCTGGTGAGCGTGAGTGTGCATGTATGGTTTGGCGGGGATGCTAGGTGGCTCGAGAGGCCCTGGGACCCCACGGGGCTGTGTTTGGCTCTAACCACTAAAGGCCCCAGAAGAACAGGGCACCACAGCTCTGGGGCACATGTACAGGTACTTACAGGAAGTAGGGCAGGAAGCTGGGGTAATACGGTGGTGGTGGAGGCGGCGGGGGTGGTGGCGGGAGCGGCTGTTGTAGGCGGTATCTCTGGGTGCTCAGTCTCCGGGGCATCATGTGGGAATATGGCTGCAAGAGGGGGGCCAGGTCCACGTCAGCCATGGGCCTGTCTCCCGGTCACCCTAGATCCTGGGTGGGGAGTGGCACTTACCACACCAAAGGACAGCTCCTGGTGCAGGGTATCGTGGGGCAGGTAGTGCAGGGGCACGGATGGGGACAGAGTTGGGCCCGGGGCAGAGGTGGAGTAGGTGAAGCTCCCCAGGGGGTGCTGATCCCCCCGCAGGTCCACATCACTGTCGAGCCGCTGCAGGGGCTGGAAGAAGCAGGGGTGAGTCAGCAGAGTCAGTGACAAGGAAAGCCCCCACCTCCCTGCCCCACTTGCCATCCCCTCTAGCATCAGACCCATCGCTCAGACTCACCATACGTGGATGCTGGGTCTGCAGCGACACAAACTGCCCAAGAGGCGCCATATGAGCGGGCTGGGGGTGTGGGGCTGGCGGTGGAGGGTGCAGGATATAGTGGTCACTGGAGATAAGGTGGGGGTAGGCCTGATAGGGCACAGGGAGCTGCTGCATGGTACATGCCTGGATCAGCTGCTGAGAAAGGGGGCAGAGGCTGGAGAATGTTCTTCTGGGCTCTGGGCTGGGTCTGCTTGTGGCTGGGCCAGGGGCCATTCCACCCAGCGAGCGGTCCCAATCAAAGGCCTCTGGACCACCCATCCCTGGCCTAGGCCTCCCAGACAGGACGTCTTGCTCTTAAGACCCACAGTTACCACTCCAAACCATAAAGCAGGCACTGGGAGCAGGGAGGTCCCTGAACTCTGAAGTGCCCTCCCACTGGACGTGAACGCACATATGCCGTTCTGGACAGGGCTGTGGCCTGGAGCCGAGCAGACACTGACAGCCTGGATGGGCGCTGTAAGCTCAGCTCAGTTCCGACACTGGCCTGTGCCTGGGGCCTTCAGCTGGCGGCAGGGCAGGAGGCCCAGGCGCTCACTCACCGGGGGCGGGAGGCAGCAGAGGGGATAGTGCTGCCCGCTGAACATCACGGAGCATGCTGGGAGCTGCTGGGTGCTGCAGCCAGGGATGTGTTGGCCTGTAGGCAAGGGGAAGCCTTGGGTCGTCACTGTGGTGACTGTGTAGGACAGAGGGACAGGTCCCTGGTGCACCTGTAGGAGGAGAGACCCAGGAACTGTAGGGAGGCCACTCTGCTGCCCCCAGGTGAGAAGCAAAGTCCTGCCGGGCCAGCTCTGGTGAAGGTGAAGTCAGGGCTTGCTCCCTCTGCTCCTCAGACCGGCTCGCCAGAGGCCAGGGGCAGCGGGGCGTGGGCATGGGGGTTCCGCTTACCTGCTCGTGGAGATCAACCATGAACGGGCTCTGCTGGGAGGCTGGGTGCAGCATTCGGGGGCTCCCGCCGGCAGGAGCCGAGGCTCGGCGCTCCTCTACGGGGAGGTATGCTGGTCGGGTTGGCGGCTGCTGGGAGGGTAAGCGCTCATCCTGGGTAGGTGGGCTGGCCAGGGGGCCCTCACGGCCAGGGCTGCACCACAGAGAGGAAGCCCCAGTAGCACTGACGGGGGCCGCTCATTCACAGAGCATGGAGAGAAGCCAAGGTCACTACCCACTGGGGAAGGAAGACAGCTCAGGGCCCTGTGCCCTACCACCCCTGGCCCCTGTGCCCCAGCCCAGGCTGAAAGCTCCAGTACCAGGGGCTCCGGGCTCCACAGGACTGGGAGGTTCCCTCCTACCTTCCCCAGAGCTGGCCTGGGCTGCTGCTGGGTCCTGCAGAGAATCGCCACTGACCCACAGGGGCAGAGGGCGGCCACCTAGTCACTGCCAGAGCCCATGGCTGCATCAGGGGAGGCAGAGGGGTGGAGGGGCTGGGCCAGGGCTCACAACCCTAGGAAGCAAACCGACAAAGGAACTAAGGTACAGAGAAGTCCAGTCCCTTGCTCCATTAGGGGTCGGGGAGACAGAATCAAACCTCTGCAGCCTGGTTCCAGAGGCCACTGATGCCCACCACACCCTGGGCTCCCCAGGCAGCGCTGTGCTCTGGCACTAGGGTTCAGGCTTGGCCTGCAGGGAGTCCAGGCCTTAGTTTCCTGCGCTGTGAAATGAGATCAGGGTCCGCCTCAGGGTAAGTTCAGAGGGCTGGCCGGCATGCTTCCAGGCCAGGGGGCTCTGGTAAGGCCCCCTCAGGGTGGGGTCTCCAGGAAAACCTGTCCTGGCGTGAGGATCTACAACTCTGACCTCTAGGTAACTGGGGCTCCTGAGGGGACTCCAGCTTCCTCCCTTCTGTCTGGTTGGCTCAAGATGGATTGCAAACAGGCCTGGGGCCTAGTTCTTCCACTAGTAACAGGTGAGAGGTTCTGACTTGGTTCTTGCCCTCGGGGTTCCCAGTCCAAGCCAAGTCAGTACAGTCATTCCTCAGTATCCACGAAGGATTGGTTCTAGGACCCCCACGATACCAAAATCCGAGGATGCTTAAGTCCCTTATATAAAATGGTATAATATTTGCATATAATCTACACACATCCTCCCATGGACTTTAAATCATTTCTACATTACTTATGATACCTAATACAATGTAAATGCTATGTAAATATGATGTAAATGCTATGTAAGTGACAAATTCAAGTTTTGTTTTTTGCAACTTTATGGAATTTTTTTCCCTAAGTATTTTAAATCTGCAATTGGTTACATCCATGGATGTGGAACCCATGGATAGAGAGGGCTGACTGTATACTTTCTTTTCATAATCTGTTCCCACAGTGCCTACCCAAATGGGACTTCACCTACTCTTCAAGTAAGGTACTGTTAGCCTCATTTTGCAGAAGAGAAAACTGAGGCTCAGAGACGAAAGGACTTGCCCAAGGCCTCACAATAAGTGTCAAAGCTGGGAGGTGGGCTGACTACCAGCCTCTTGCTGCACACTGATGCTGACGGGAAGGGGTCCAGCCCAAGGGTTCTGGCAGGATGTGATGAAGGAAGTCAACCTCTGGTGAACTGGTGGGTCTGGCGTGCAGCCAGGCCCTTTGTGTGTGGGGGGAGTGCATGCAAACCAGACCCAACACAGCCCCCAAGTCGGAGGTGGGGCTTGCTGAGAAAAGAGGAAGCAAGAACCTAAACCTAAGGGAGGAAGTTGAGTGAGAATGGGGCGGGGCAGGAGCTAGGGTCCAGGTGGGGAAAGTTGGGGGGACCACTCATTAACTCCAGAGGTTGGAATGAGGCCCTGGCAGGGAAAACTCTGGAAACTGTCAGACCCTGCAATGCTGAAGGGCGCATCCAACAGGACCAGCCTTTGGCTGTTCCTGCCACAGGGAACCCTGCCTCCATCTAACAAAACTCCTATGCTTCCTTCATACCCAGCTTTAAGTGTCACCTCCCTGCTAACACAGCTAGGGAACCGGTGTACTGTCCCCTCAACACCTTGTTCCTTTCCTCTGTGCTGGGCTTTACGTGCATGGGCCCTGACTTTCAAAATGAGCCTGAAAGGGAGGCTCTTCACCTGCTAAGACAGCACAGGGCCAAGGCCACAGCCACAGTAGAGCTGAAATTCACATTTCTCCCACCCAACCTGGGCTCCAGCACTTGGCAGAGGGGTGGGCAGGGCCCAGTGACCAGCTTGTGTCCAGCACAGGGCAGGCCCGATGTGGTAAATGCTCACTGGAGAGCCAATTACATAGGTCTAAGGCCATGTCTGGCAGCAGTGAAGTTAGTGCCAATGATTAAAAACTGGGACATAAAAAAATCTGTCCTTTCAGTGTGTTGTGTGTGTGGCGGGGGGGAAGGAAGCAGAAAATCTGGTCCCACTGGGCCCTCATTTCTGCTTGACCCACCTCACTCTGGGCATGAGTTTTCTCTCCAGGCCACCCCAGGCCCATTCCTTGCCTGCCCACCACAGGTGACTGGGGTCGTGAGCCCCCAGCGTGGGCCAAGTGCATATCCTTACACTCATGTGTACACACACAGCCTCCTTGATTCCTGCTGATAATCCAGCCGAGCAAACAAAGGCCAAGAGAGACTCAGAGGAAACCCCTAAATAACTTAACAACAGACTCCTGACCCACCCCAGATTTTTGGATCAGAATCTTTGGAGGGTTGGGGAACAAGGGCACCTAGATTTCTACTAAATTCCCCAGCAGTTTCTACAGCAGAGGCAGGTGCTTGAGAACCTCTGTTCTAACTGACCTCTGAGATCCTGGGAGCCCACAGTCCTGCCTATGAGGAGTATACAATACTTCCCATGTGCCATCCTGATAAGTCCTCATAGCAACCTTCAGAAGTAGGCATGCTGAGGCTCAGAGAAGTGAGGTCCAAGGCCAGTCAGTTGGAGCTGTGAGTGTACTGGGACATGGCAGTGGCCTCAACTGCTCCTCTTGTGCCAGGCTGTCTTGAAGTCCGGGCAGTGTCAAGGCTCAGGGGTGCAGAATCACAGAGGCCTAGGCCCATGGGAATCTGCTCTGGCCAGCCTCTTCAAGGACACCCACACCTCAGGAAAGGAAGTGGCAAGGAGCCGAGAAACCCAACCACCAGACAGAAGGCCTCTAGCTGTGACTGACGGTGACAAAGATGACAGTGTTGACCCTTGCATTCTTACACACAATACCCTGACTTCTGGCCAGAGTCTTGGCTGAGGATTGGGCACATCGCCTCCCCTCTCTGAGCCTCAGTTTATTCATCTGTAAAATGGGAATAGCCCAATAATCACCTCCCAAGACTGCTTAAAGGCTGCTGCAGTGATTTGTAAAGTTTAGGTGTGACCGATCACTATCAGAAAATACAACAGGCTGACCTTCACTCCCACCCCCCAAGCAGCTTAAAGATGCTATTTTAAGCTCTGCAGGAGGCAGCTGGGAAACATGCCTCCCTCAGGGAATATCCCCTCCCAGCTGGCAAGGGAGGGGACCCTGGTTCTTGACTGGAGACAGAGATGTCCCATGGGAAACTCACCCACTTCACAGTTGAGGAAACTGAGACCAGGAGAAAGAAAGTAACTTGCTGCAGACCACAAAGCCAAAGAAGGACAGAATTAGTCCTGGCTGGCCCGCTAGGCCCAGATTTCCTCAACCCCTGACTCTCATTACCATCAGTAACCTCAAGAATTACCTAATGCCAATTCTCTACTGCAGGCCCTAAAGGAGATCAGGGGAGCTTTCTCTTTCAGGCATCCTGACTAGACCTATTGTGGAAAGAAGCAAGTAAGGCCCAGAGCTGGAGCAGCAACTTGCTCAAGGTCAAACAACAAGGCCACCACCTAACTGCTCTGCCTTTCACCACACCTCCTCTGTGCTGGGCTCTCTGTGAGGTCTCCGTAAAAGGGTCTTGAGGGTCCCTAAATCCAATCTCGCCCAGAAGCAGGGACTGCACCTTGCATCCACCCCCTCGCCCAGGAGGCAGCCAACTCCCTAGTTCCTATCCCCATCCTGGTCTAGGGAGATCCTGACATATCATTTGGGCCTGGGGGCTGTTTGCAGGTACAGGGACTGTTTTGCAGATAAGCTAAGTCAGGCCCTGAGAACAGGAGCAGACCCAGGCAGGCTGAGGAGCCCCCCTCCCACCCCTCAAAAAAGAGGCGGGTTGGGCCCAGCACTGACTGGTGGGCACGCAGAGCTCCCTAACTGTGGTGCCTGGAGGCAGCTGAGAGCAGGACCACCAGGCTGCGAGTTAAGAGTTGTTGGCCAGCCCAGACTCCCTGGGTGACCTTGGTCAAGGAAATCTTCCCTTCTGTGCGCCTCAGTTGCCACAACTGTAAAATGGGAGTGGAAATCTCTCCTTCCCAGAGCTCCCAAATAAAGCCACAAGAGGCAAGACGCAAAAAACCAGGTGGTCACATTACTGGGGGAGGAAACCAGTGTCCCTGAGGAGCAAGCCCCTCCTCAATGTGGGCCAGGAGCAGGTTGCGGGATTCGGGGAGCTTCCTCAGTCATCCCTCCCTGGGACTGGGGACGTGGGTGGGGAGGACGTGGTACAGATACTCGCCCAGAGAGGGGCCTCCCTCATCCCCCTCTCACTCCTTTGTGCCGGGCTCGGGGGGACATCGGGGGCTGGAGGCCATACGGCGGCGTCGGGGCCAGAGCGCTGTGACTTTAAGAGCCGAGGATCCCGGACCATGTGCTCGGCGTGAGACAAAAGCAACAACAAAGGAAGTGGCGGCGGCAGGGGGAGGGGGCGGCTCCTTCCTCTCCAACCGCAGCGCTCTGCCTCTGGAGAAGGGAGACTCGGCCTGGCCTTGGGGGGCGCTGGGGGTGGGGAGGGGTCCCGGATTCTAGAGGCCTCGCCATCTCCCCTCCGGACTGCCCGTAATTAACTCCTGCAGAGCCAGCTAGATCACAGCCCTCAGTCCCAGGGGAAGGGGGGGGCAGGAATTCCAGGGATGCGGAAATCGGGAGCTGGGGGCTCTGGCCCCGACTCACCTTCGGCCGCCTGGCCACACGTTGACTCCTTTGTTCCCGATCTAGGACGGCCAAGCTGGGCAAGAGGCGGGGGTGGGGGGGTGGGAGTGTGCTGCCTGGACCCTTTAAGAGCCCCCGCCCTGAGGAACAATGTGCTCCCTTCCCCACCCCCCCGGTCCGGGGGCAGTCCGGCTCCTTCCGGGGCCCTCTTTCTTTGTTGTCCGTCCGCCGGGCGTCTGCCTCGCGAGGCCCACGCGCGGTCAGTCTCTCGGCCCAGGCCCTCTGGGAGAGGGAGGCGGCGCAGGACGCGGCCGGGTTTGCGCAGCTGCCGGCGACTGGCCCTTTAAGAACTGTCCGCGGCGGCAGCGGAATGTAACAAACCCCACATTTGATTCACAACATTCGAAGCGGCGGGGTCGCGCGCCGGGCGGGAGGGGGGCTCGCGGGGGCGCGCCGGGAGGTTCCGGCAAACAGTAGCCGACTGCTCCCCGCGAGGGCCCCGCCCCTTGCTAAGAGTTCCGCCCCTCGGGGGCGCCAAGAGCCAATCATTCGCCGAGACTCGGCACGTGATTAGTGGGCCGCCATCTTGGAAGGCAGTTTTTTTTTTTTTAAAACCTCCTCTCGCCCCCACCTCCTCACTTAAAGTGCCCGCAGCCATCACAGGAAAGGGGCGGGGCCACATGGTCTGACCTAAAGAGGGGAGACCGCGCGGTAAGCAAGACAAATTGGCTGTAACTCTAACTTGCTATGCAAACTCACAAATCACTCATGCTTCTGAGGCTCAGTTTCCCCGCCACATAAGTGGGTCCCGCCGGGAGAGCCGCAGCCCGGACTTACTGTGTCATGGTCCCCTCCTTGGGACGGCGCCTGGGACACAAGTGCAATGGACCTGACCTTCGACAGGGCAGGAGCGGCTCTTAAGCCAGTCCGAGTGGTTAGGAAGGCTCTAACAGCCCTGGGCCGGCAACCTCCCCGGAGATGACGTCAGCCCCGAAAGCTACTGCGCCGCGATGACATCATGGCCTGGCCTCCTCGCATCTCCTTGTTTATACTGCGCGGTGGCTTTAAAAAGTTGGGAGGGGCTGGATTGCCCAACGAACCAATAATGGGCAACCCATGCAAATAAGCTAACGCTTGTCGGGAAGGATTGGCCCGGCTCGCGTTGACGTCACAGAGACATTTAAACACCCCGCCCCCAGCGTGGCCCGGGAAAAGGGCGGGGAACAGTTTGAAGCTGGAGCAGCAGCCGTCCCGCGCTCTAATTGCTCTAGGCGAGGCCTCGGAGAGCTCCCTGCTTAGGGGGTTGGGGAACTAAACCCAATGAAGTCTTTAGTTTTCTACTGTACTCCTCCTAGCAATTATGAGACGCATTACTACAACCTGCCCATTTTACAGATGGGTAGAGAGAATCAAGAGGGGTGTCATTCACCCCAGGTTACAAAGCGAGGAAGAGTGGCCGAGCAGATACTTGAACCCAAGCCAAAGCCCAGCGTCGTTCCCCTTTGCCTCGACGCCTCCCCAGGCAGACGTTATACAAAGTGGGGTATTATCTCTACATCGATAGAAAAAAAAAAAAAGCTGGGAACAGGTCAAATAAATTATGCATATAATCAATAACTGGACTCCTCTGTATGCAGCTGCACTGACATAGGGTTACCTCCAGCACAGCCCTAAACAAGATACCAGCAAAAAATGTTAAAACATTTGTTAAGCCTGTGTGGTGGGGTTGCTGGGTGTGTGTGTGTGATTTTCTATGCTTCTTTGGTATATTTCATAATCCCAAATTTAAAAACTGAAAGAAAGATACTGAACAGAGTATAACAGTATCAATGTTTTTAAAAATTGGATATATACAGTATCTGTATATAGAATATTCCTGGAAGGATATACAGGAGACTGATAAATAACTGTCCTCAGGGAGAACTGGAGGAGAGCACTGGGTCAGGATAGACTTTTTATTGTATACGCTTTTGTACATTTGCTCCTTAAAAACAAAACAAAACAAGAAAAACTCTATACAGTATAACCTACTGAAAATTCTAAAGAAAATTACTGTGAAAGAGTATGTTTTAAATATTTTAAGCCATAAAAAACTTGTGTTCCTTTAGAGTCAGAAATCCCCCTTTGGAAAGGGTATCCAGTGGAAACAATCCAGAAGGAAGCTGGGGAACAGACATGCTTATCCAAGTGTTGTTTAGACCAGCAACAATCTGACACCACAATGTGGATGGCAGCCAGCAACACGATGACTGAAAATGGTACCCACTCGCTGTTTGCATATCTCTAAGGACAGAAGATCAAGTTCATGATGCAGTGCTACAGATGTTACCTGGAATGCCAAACTCTATCCATCATAGTTAAACTACGTGTGCATGAGAATAAATGGGGTTGCATTTCTCTAACCATCTCCTTATCAGCAACTCTCCCTTCTCCTAAATCCCTTCCAACCTTTTATTTTTCTCACTCTGTAAAAGCAATCAGAAAATCCTTCCCACATTCAAAGTGCCTACATTGTTAAGACCACCCCCCTGCTTGCCTGTGTAGGGATAGAACCTGCAATGGCTCCCTAATGCCTGGCTTTCAGGGCTCTGTTTAACAAGACTTCCCTTCCCTGTTTAAGCTTCCCTTACCAAACTTTTTTTTTTTTTTTTTTTTTGCGGTACGCGGGCCTCTCACTGCTGTGGCCTCTCCCATTGCGGAGCACAGGCTCTGGACGCGCAAGCTCAGCAGCCATGGCTCATGGGCCCAGCCGCTCCGCGGCATGTGGGATCTTCCTGGACCGGGGCACGAACCCACGTCCCCTGCATCGGCAGGCAGACTCTCAACCACTGCGCCACCAGGGAAGCCCCCCTTACCAAACTTTTCAGGCTCACCTCTCCCCAGCCTCTCTCCCATGACCATGGCAGTGCTCCCTCTGGCCTTCCCTGCCTGAGATGCTCTCTCTCTTCCTTTCTACGAATCCATTCCTCTTCTCTGTCCCTTGAGGCTCTGCTCCCATCTCACTTCTTATAGGAAGCTGTGAAGTCTCTAGCTTGTACTGAACTCCTCTGTCTCTGAACTCAGGCCTAGACGCACCCTGACCTTCACTTCATGCCATTTAATTTGCACACAACCCTGTCGTGATTGCTTCGTGTCTCACTCAGTAATCTCCTCCTGGGCTTCCCTGGTGGCACGGTGGTTAAGAATCCGCCTGCCAAAGCAGGGGACACGGGTTCAATCTCTGGTCCGGGAAGATCCCACATGCCGTGGAGCAACGAAGCCCGTGCACCACAACTACTGAGCCTGTGCTCTACAGCCCATGCGCCACAACTACTGAGCCCGCGTGCCGCAACTAGCAAAGCCGGCGCGCCTAGAGCCTGTGCTCTGTGACAAGAGAAGCCACTGCAACAAGAAGCCCGCGCACCGCAACTAAAAGTAGCCCCTGCTCGCCACAACTAGAGAAAGCCCGTGCAGAGCAGCGAAGACCCAACACAGCCAAAAATAAATAAATAAATAAAGAATCTCCTCCTGGCGGAAGAGGATACAGCATTTTTAACTGCACTGACATTCAGCCTTCACTGAGAGGCAGACACCACGGGGTAACCAGTCTCATTTTATGGTTGAGGATCTGAGGCTCAAGGAGGTGAAGTGACTTGCCCGAGGCCACAATGTGAAAATCCTTTACCACTCCCCACCCTCAGAAAGCGACTCCAGTAACTACTCCACAATCCAGTTACTCCTTTGAAGCCACCAAGCCTCTGACTGTGCCATTCTCTCAGTCTAAAATGTCCTCAACACCCCTACTCACCTCTGGCCAAACCCTGCTCAACCTTCGGGGCTCAGCTCAAAGGCTGCCTCCTCGGAGCCTCTCCTGACCATCTGCTGGCTTCTTCAATATACGGCATGACTATCATCACACCACATCAGGATGGCAGAAGGTATCTCCATGGGACTGCTCTCCCTACCCGCAGCAGGGCCTGGCTCACACTTCCTTGGATGCCCAAGGAAGGGACTCTGTATTGCCCTTCCTCGCCCCTGATGCTTCAGGGCCAGGAAATCCTTGCCCTGTGTTCTCTCATGCATGACCCTCTAGTTTACGCCCCTGGGAGGCCCTCAGTAAATTCCCACAGACCTCTGGGTTCCGCCCAGGACCGGAGGCCAATAACACATCTCCCTCTGAAAAACCTTGCTGGGTGCATGCAGAATCACTCTGGAGCAAGAGGGAGGGAGGCTCAATTTTACCAGATTTCTCAGAGAAGCCAGAAGTCTGGACTTTCCTCTCAGGTTCACTGACAAGTCTTATGCTTTGGAACCCCAACGTGGGCCCAACGGCCTGCATACCTACTCTGTGCCCCATTCTTATCACCCCACCCCCACTCCCTTGAAGGCAGGTTCTGTTACTTTCACCTTACACAGATGAGGAAAGTGGCTAAGGAAATGACTCCCCTTGCCACAGATCCCAGAAGTGTAGCCCAGGTGGGGGTGGCTCACTCTTGCCCAGGCATCTGCCTCGAAGCTCTGTGGAGAAATCAGGGTTCTAGAGTCTTCTGCATGATCTGGGCAAGTCCTACCCTGATCATCTCATTGGTCCTTCCAATGACCTAAGAGCTAGGTACCAGTGTTTGCTCCAAGAAGCTTGGGCAAGAGAGGATATGATTCACCCACCGTCACACAGCCATCAAGGGGCAAACCTGGGATCACATTTTAAACGAAGATTAAGTTTGGTGCATGCAATGCAAATGCCAACACAGGGTCCCCAAGTGTTGCTCAATAATCAAAAGCACAGATGTCCTGGGGCAAGAGACTCTCCAGGTCCCAGAGTGGAAGAGTAGCAGAGAGGGATTTGAATCCTGGTCCCTCGAGTGCAAAGTACTGGATGCTACAATCCAGCTTCCACTCCCAGGCCTCCTCTGCAGGAGATGGGAGGGATTCTGTGCAGGCAGGAAGAAGGTGGGGTCATCGGTTCCTGCTGGAGCCCTCCCCTGCTCCATCTGCCTACCTAAGACCTGGACAGCTGGCTGCCTCCTTCCCTCCATCAGGATCAGAAAGTACTCCACTCCTTTTTTCTAAGACCCCTCAAACTCTCCTCCAGATGCAGGGCCTTCCCAAGTGGAGCTGGCAGAACATAGAGATTGAGGGACCATCCAGGGACACACAACACAGCCTGGTAAAGCCAGCTCAGGACACAGACCTCCCAGCTACCCCAGGGCATCAGACTTGAGCCTCACGCTCCAGGCTGGGGGTTGACAGGCCCCCTGCCAAGTCCTCTCTGCTCAGGGCAGGCCTGAACACACCTGAGCCCCAAGCTTTGTCTCCCCTAAAAAGCAGAGGCTGTTTGTGCATATGGGGGAGGGCAGAGTGTCTGTAAAGGTGTTCCCAGGTCTGGGTCCAGGGCTGCAGCACTCTGGCTCCAGCTTTGAGACTTGGTCACTTATGTGGTCTCACTCTTCTTCAGTCTCATCTGTAAAACCAGGATGATGACAACACTAATGACAGATGACATTTACTGAGCACTTAGTGTGTGTAGCACTGCTGTTCATCTCCTATAGGCTACTGAGGGGGCAGGCATACACTGATGATTAAATACAGAGCCTCTGAAACCAGCCCACCGAGGCTTGGACCCTGGCTCTGCCTTTTATCAGCTTGGTGACCTTGAGGAAGTCACCACCTCTATGAGGCTCACAGTTTGTCCAGGTGTAAAATGGGGGCGATTATACCTACCTCAATGAGTAAATAGTGGCTCTCACTTGTGTGTGCATCTTCGGCGGTACCTGCCTGGCTTTCTGGGTCTGGGTCTGCGCTTGAATGTGTGAGCTTTGAGGGTAGGGCGTTGGGAGGGGCTCCCCTTTCTGACTACCTCCCCGCTGTAGCTCTCACCACTGGAACCCGCAGGGTCTGCAGAGGAAGGAGCAGGTACCATCACCACATCATCCGGTGATGAAAATCGGGGGCTGTAAGAGTGGGGGTGCCTGGCAGACCCAGGGAGAGATGAGTCCAGCCGAATTCCCCATTTTCCCTCTATCCAAGGCCAGTTTCCTACACCCACATCTCCTTCCCGCCCCGACACCATCTCGACTCGGGCTTAATAGCCCTCAGGCAACAGAAGGTGTGTGACCTTGGACAAGACACAGACCCTCTGGAGTCCCCGCCTTCCTACGCCCTCAAAGCAGTAACCAAGCCGCTGGCGCGCGGCGGTCTGTTCCCCGGACCCGCAGCCGCCCCAGGGCAGGGCTCGGGTCGCTCTGGATCCCCAGCGGCTGGGACAAGGAGCTTTGGTAAAGTGGGGCAGTCGTGACGAGGCCAAAGGACTGCAGCTCTGTCCCGGACGCCTGGGGCCCAGCCGAAGCCGACACTCGCCAGGGGTTGCGATCGGGGCATGAGTGGGGCGCAGGGCACGCTGGGACTCGTAGTTCCCAGGGCCTCCCGTACTGGGGCTCTTAGACCTACCGGGCGGAGCAGCTCTGGCTCCGGGTCCCGGGACAGCGAGCTCCGGCCCTGCGGGCGCAGGCAGCGGCCTCGCTGGATGTCCCTGTGCTACACTGCCAGCCCGCGGCCGCCCCCTATCGCTCCGTCTCTCTGGCCCCGCGCCTGGGGCGCAAGGCGCAGGGTCCAGGCCGGGCGTTACCTGGGGCCGCGGCGGGGCTCCACCCCCACCGGGAGGCCGGCGCGTCGCTCCCGCTGCAGCCGGGGGTCCCGGTCCAGCTGCGGCTCGCGCCGCCTGCCGCGGCCCCCCCTCTGGCCCCAGGCAGTGGAACCGTCCACGAACCTCTTCGCCCGGGCGCGCGCACGCGCGCGCGGGGTCCACGCCGGCTATGCAGCTTCACCCTCCCTCCCGCGGGTGTATGGAAGTACCTGGACTGCACCAAGCGCGCGGGAGCGGAGGGTGGGAGGAGGAGGAGCGTGTTTCGGCCACGCCCACTCAGTGTCCAGCGGCAAAGGGCGCGCAAGGGCAAAGAGTCCGGGGCCTGGCCTTCCAGCCGCCCCCTTACTACTGTGTGCCCTTGGCGAGTGACTAAATAGGAAAGATATTACGACTCCGTGGTCGTTCAAGGAACCTTCCCTTAGCGGACAGTTTGTTCCCCTCCCTCAGCCTCGGAATTGTGTGTGTGTGTGTGTGTGTGTGTGTGTGTGTGTGTGTGTGTCAAGGATCAAAATACAAAGATTAAGGACTATGGGGTCAGCAGTTCTTGGTTCCTCCCTTTGTGTCGTTCTCTGAGCTTCAGTTTCTTCGTCTGTGAAATGTGAGCGATGATAACCGCCTTTGGGCGGTAGGGAGACTAGTGATAAGAGAATGCGTATGCCCATGGCTAGAGCTAGCCTGGACCGGAGCGTGGCTGATACCTGCTCAGGCCGGGCATCCCCAGTCCCAGAGGGGATCCCCGCCGCCTGCATCCTTGGGTATAATTAGCCGGCAAGGACTACAACTTCCAGCGCGCCCCGCTCCGGCTGGGTCTTTCCGGGAGTTAGACCCGCTACCTCGAGGCCGATTTATTTTTTAAAGCTTGCATTTGTTGAGCTCTTCCCACGTGCCAAACAATATTCTAAGTGATTAAAATGAATTAACTTAGTTGGTCCATAAAATCCAGCAATCCAGTGAGGGAATATTATTATTGTCCCTGTTTTATAGATTTGAAACCGAGACATAGCCAGCTAAGGGATTTTGCTAGGAAGCAACAGGGCTCAGGATTTCTGCTC